CAGTCCTACTTCCGTAGTGATACTGCCTCAGAAACCCAAGGAGGGGTCGCTATGAGTCGAGGCCAACTTGACGGCAAATAACAACAACAACAACATGCCATCCTCCCAGTTGTAGCTGTGTTTGTGCCCATTGTTGTAGCCACTGTGTCAGTCCATCTCATTGAGGGTCCTCCTTTTTGCAGACTGCCTACTTTACCAAGCATGGCGTCCTTCTCCAGGAATTGATCCCTCCTGATAACATGTCCAAGGAGCTTTGGTGGCACTGTGGTTAAAGCATTCAGCTGCTAACCAAAAGGTCGGTGGTTCAAACCTACTGGCCACTCTGGAAGAAAGATGAGGCCATCTGCTTCCATAAAGATTTACAGCCTTGGAAACCCTTTGGGGCAGTTATACTCTGTCTTACAGTGTCACTGTGAGTCAGAATCTATTTGATGGTAGTGGGTTTTGGGGCTTGATAACATGTCCAAAATTATGATGTTGCTTATTGGTCCAGTTATGAGAATTTTTATTTTCTTTGTGTTGAGATGTAATCCATACTGAAGGCTGTAGTCTTTGATCGTCATCAGTAAGAGCTTCATGTCATCTTCACTTTCAATGAATAAGGTTGTGTCCTTCAATTCTAATGTAACATTCTTCATATAGTCCAGCTTCTTGGATTATTTGCTCAGCATACAGATTGAATAAGTATGGTGAAAGGATACAACCCTGACACATACCTTTCCTTGTCTTAAACCATGCAATATCCCCTTGTTCTGTTTGAATGACAGCTCCTTGGTCTATGTACAGGTTCCTTATGAGCACAATTAAGTGTTCTGGAATTCCCATTCTTCGTACTCATATCCATAATTTGTTATGATCCACACAGTTGGATGCCTTTGCATAGTCAGTAAAACACAGGTAAACACCTTTCTGGTATTCTCTGCTTCTAGCCAAGATCCATCTGACAGCAGTGGTATCATTTGTTCCTCTTCTGCATCCAGTTTGAATATCCCTGTCAATGTACTGTTGCAACCATTTTTGAATTATCTTCAGCAAAATTTTACTTGCATTTTACATTAATGATACTGATTTCCACATTCTGTGATTCTCATTCAATGAATTCCTCTTCAATTTGTGATTCCTAGCTGAGTAGACCGTATGATTGTCCAATTCAAAATGGCCAATACCAGTCCATTTCAGCTCAGTAATGCCTAGGATATCTATCTTCAGCTGTTCCATTTCATTTTTGACAACTGCACATTTTCCTAGATTCATTCATACTTTGTACCTTCCATGTTCTGTTTATTAATGGATGTTTGCAACTGATTCTTTTCATTTGGAGTCATACCACATAAACAAATAAACATCTCAAAAGCTTTGCTCCATCCACGTCATTAAGGTCAACTCTGCTTTGAGGAGGCAGCTGTTCCCCAGTTGTATTTTGAGTGCCTTCCAACTTGAGGGGCTCATTTTCTGGCACTGTATCAGTCTTCTACTGCTATTCATAAAGTTTTCACTGGCCAATTTGTTTTTTAGAAGTCCTTCTTCCTAATCTGTCGTAGTCTGGCTGAAAGTTCTGCTAAAACCTGTCCACCATGGGTGACCCTGATGGTATTTGAAATACCGGTGGCATAGCTTCCAGCATCATAGTAACACAGAAGTCACCACAGTATGACAAACTGGCAGATGAGTGGTAGAGACTGCAAGTGGGTCCTTATCAATTACTGTATTTTTCATAAGGGACTCGGTCTTAATCTCATTTTTTATTGACTGTTACCATTCCTGGGTTTGCTTTGCTAGGAAATTCTCTTAAATCCCGCCCCTCCCCCCAATTTTCCATCCATCTCCACCTAATAGTTTTGGTGGCACACTCTGGCTTGCCAGGGATTTCTTTAGCCTTCTGTGTGTAGTTGCTTCTTTGGGTAGTCATTGATAGCAAGCATCCACATCTCTCCCTTTCCTTCATGCCTGGCAGTACTTAATGAAATATGTTTGGGAAAAAGCAGCCCCTAAATTAAATTCGGAGCTCTGGTGGCATAGTGCCTAAGGCATTGACTGCTAACCAGAAGTCTGGTGGTTCATATCCACCAGCCACTCCCCAGAAGGACGATTGGGCAATCTACTTCCATGGAGATAACGCTTCGGAAACCCAAGGAGGGGTCGCTGTTAGGGAGAAAAATGCTTGTACCTGTTTTGTTTTTTTTTTTTCCCTCAAATCCTGCAGAAGTCCTCTGCCTGCCTCTGTAGCCATATTCCACCCGAGCACGTACCCAGTGCTCCATCTGCCCAAGGTTCATCCCCCACACTCATCTAGCCACTCCTCTCCTCCAGACCTTGGTTCAGGCAGGCCTACTGCTTGAATGCTCTCTTTCCTCTGTGCCACCTGGCTAAGCACAGCCTTGGATTGTCTCCCAAAATCTAGGAGTCATCTTTAATTTCTCCCTTTCTGTTACCATCATTCATCTATTCAACAAAATCCTATCATGTGCCTACTATGTTCCAGTTACTGTCCTAAATCCTGGGAGATAGAGTTTGATAAAGGTACATGAAGGCCATGCTCTATGGAACCTGCATTTGTGTCTGGGGTAGGGAGGGAAGGAGGACAATAAACGAACAAGATGTTAAATGCTGCCAAGGAAAACAAAACAAAAAAGAAACCTCTAGGCTACTGTGAAAGGAGCTCTGGTGGCACAGTGCTAAAACATTTGATTGCTAACCAGAAGGTTGGAGGTTCAAACCCACTAGCCACTCCAAGGCAGGAAAATGGGACAATCTACTTCTGTAAATATTTACTGCCTCGGAAACCCAGTCAGAATTGACTCAATGGTAATGAGTTTGAGGCTACTATGATAGTGAATTGGGAGTGTGGGGAACAGAGTGCTACTTTATTTATTTATTTATTTGTCTTTTTTTTTTTTTAATTGTGATTTGGGTGAAGGTTTACAGAGCAAATTCACTTTCCATACAGTGGTTCACATATACTTTGTCTCATGACATTGACCACAGTTTACCACAATGCAACAGCTCCCCTCCCATTTCCTCCCCATAGTTAACCTCTTCCCTGTGTCCATCCCTCCATGCAGAGTGCTACTTTAAATTGGGTGTTCATGGAAGGCTCCACTGAGGGAGGTGACATTTGACAAGAAGGCGCCACTATGCAGAAACCTGGAAGCAGGGGCAAGGGTATATGGGATGACATTTTGGCTGAGGTTTGAAGAAGAGGTAGCCAGTCAGGGGAAAGAGGCCTTCCTCTCATAGGGAGTCACAAATGCCAAGGCCCTAAGGTGGGAAGGAACTTAGTATATATTTAAAAAAAAAAAAAAAAAAAAAAAAAAACTCACTACCATCGAGTCAATTCTGACTCATAGGGACCCCTTTTGGGTTTCCGAGTCAGTAAATCTTTACAGAGGTAGATTGCCCAGTCTTCTTTCTGCAGAGTGGCTGGTGGATTTGAACCTCCACATTTCTGGTTAGCAGTCAAATGCCTTAGGCACTGAGCCACCAGAGCTCCTTACCTTGGTATCAGAGGAATAGAAATGCCTTCCCTAAGCTTTGCCTGTATGTGATATGAAGATGATTAACACTTCTGCACACAGCTGTTACTGGTCTAAATATTGTAGAAGGTGAACTGGGTACAAATTCCAAAGGCGGCAGAGGAATTTCCATTTTCCTCCTCACCTTCATTTGTTTCCTTTGCCAGTTATTTCCCTTCCATCTCCTGCTTGTTGTCTAACCCTTTCTCTACCTTCCCATTCAAAAGCAAAAACAACAGTTGCCATGGAGTCAGCTCTGACTCATGGCAACCCCGTGTACATGTCAGATAGAATTGTGCTCCATAGGGTTTCCAGTGGCTGATTTTTTGGAAGTAGATCACCAGGCCTTTCTTCTAAGGTGCCTCTGGGTGGACTCCTTTTGGTTAGCAGCTGAATGCATTAATGGTTTGCACCACTCAGGAGCTCCCTAATTAAATACAACAGGGCTTTGGAGGGAGATTGCCCTAAGATTGAACTTCATCTCTATCACTAGCTGCATGATTTTAGGCAGTTACTTTACCTCTCAAAGTTGCCTTATTAGTAAATTGGGAATAATTAACACCTGTCTTCTAGATTCTAAGCATCAGGCATCTCAAGGTAATCAATAAATGGTGGCTATAAGCATTATTCTTTATGTATTCATTGAATAATAAAGTAAATTGAGTTTACTGTGAAACTCAAGTTGGTCCATCATTTCTCTCTGATTTCTCTGTTGCCACTCTAATCTATGTATGGGCATCTCTTGCTGGGCCTGCTGCCTCAGAGCCTAACAATCTCTCTGTTTCTTTTCATGCTCTCTGGCAGCCCATTCTCCCCTTGGCAGTCAGAAAAGTCTTAAATGTATATTACACCTACTTCTTATATATCAATATGGTTAGGGCCCAAAGACCAGGTTGTTATGTGAAAATTGGCCTTAGGCAAAAATGGAAGATGACCACATCAAATCACAAAATGGACTATGATGACATCATTATATAACTGCCAAATTACAACATTAAATATCTGCCAAATTACATCATTACATAACTGCCAAACCACTGAGAATCATGGTCCAGCCAAATTGATACATAACCTTAACCATCAGTCAGCATTACTCTTTCCTACCATCTCAGCATTTGTTATTGCCAGATGTATGTTGTTACTGCACAAAATAATTGCATAGTAGATTTTTCACTATTGTCATATATGTGCAATGTCAGATAACAGGACAGTCTATAAGTGAGGAGTAGGTGTAGTTCCATCCAAGACTTCCAGTCCTTTCTCATTCCCAGAATCCTTATTGCAGTCTGCCTGGTCCTACGTGGTCTGGTTCCTGCTTCCTCCTCTTGCTGTCATCTTGCACCACAACTTCCCCTACCCCACCCCCCATGCACAGGACACTCCAGTAATATGATCTGTCCTGTTCCAAGACAAGACAGCTCTTCCCACCCTGATACATCCCTCCTCTTGGGCAAGAAATATTGTATACACTGGTCAGATCTAAAAAGGATATTTATTTATTTAATATATGGAGATGGGTGGTGGTGCTGATGATATGTTAAGGGCCTTTCCAATCAGAATTCCCTAGCTAAAATGATAATAGTTATTATCAACAAGGTTGATGCTAACAAAGATTTCAACAAAATAGAAGTTCTCAAGCAACATACATCAGATGACCAGTACTTTTTATCAGGAGAGGAAATTATGAACATTTGTGGTCACCTTGTAAATTTCGGGAGCTCTGGTGGTGTAGCGCGTAAGGCATTTGACTGCTAACCAGAAGGCTAGTGGTTCAAACCCCCCAGCCATTCATCGGAAGGAAGATTGGACAATCTACTTCCGTAGAGATACCGTCTTGCAATCATGTGAAGAATACAGGATCTAACTGAAGAAATGAACAAAATGTTCAGCTTTGTGTTTAGAGTTTATGTGTGGATTGCTTTGTTTGGCTCTGGAGATACCAAAAGATAGAAACTGCAGTCTGTGTCTGATGATGGACTTATAAACAATCTAGGGATGCATATGACATACATGAAAAGAAACACAATTCAATGCTGAATAGTTTGGTGCTTTGTGAGTAAGAGAGCTGGGTACTCTGGGAAGCAGATAGAGGTGCCCTTGATGATGGTGATGGTGGAGGAGGTTGGGGGTACAAAGTTCATGAATGACACTTGCCTGGAAGGAAGGCAAAAAGTTCATTAATATAGAGGAGACAAGCAATTCCAGACCACAGATGGGGAATATCCTTTGGTAATGACAGCAGTTTAACTGTCATTAGGTTAATTAGGTCATTAGGGTGCAAATGGTTAAAGTGCTCCACTGCTAACTGAAAGGTTGGAGGTGTGAGTCCACCCAGAGGAGCCTTGGAAGAAAGGCTTGGAGATATACTTCCAAAAAATTAACCATAGAAAACTTTGTGGAGCTCAGTTCTGTTCCACATGAGATCACCACAAGTTGGCATCACCTCCATGGCAACTGGTTACTGGGTAACTGGAGAAGAGAGTCCTTTTTTTGAGCAATAGATTATGGATTGTTTTGTACATGAAATCTTTTAGACTGGTGTTTTTCAAGCTGCAAGTCATGACCCATTAGCAGATGGTAAATTCAATTTAGAGGATCTTGCCTCCCATTAAAAATAATTTTAAGAAACTAGAATAGAAAATATGAAAGCTTCACATGTAGTAAGTATTGATATGTGAACCTTTTGTTTCAGATACATATGTATGTACGTGGCCCACTAAACTCACTGCCATCAAGTCAGTTCTGACTCATAGTGACCCCCATTGGATTTCCAAGGCTGAAATATTTATAGAAGTAGATTGCCTCATCTTTCTCCTGCAGAGCAGCTGGTGGGTTTGAACCACTGACCGTGTGGTTAGCAGCCAAATGCCTTATTCACTATGCTACCAGAACTCCTTTATGTATGTGGAGCCACAATATCAACTGTATTTCTCATCATGGGTCATGGTTAAAAGGTTTGGAAAATACCTGACGAGAGATCAAGATACCCACAGCTACCTAAATATCTGTGCCTTCCATTAGCACTCAGCACAGTGGCTGGGTGCTGGCATTTCTATTTGTTGACTAAATGGAGGACCTTGGATTCTAGCCCAAGAAGTTTGGATTTTAATTTGTAGGCAATGAAAATTTGTTGAAGATTTGTGTGAAGGAGGTGATGGGTGTTTTAGAAGGGTGATTTAGCAGATGTATGGAGGATGGTTTAAAAGAGTCCATGTGATGCTATGGTTAAGTGCTTGGCTGCCAACTGAAAGGTTGGCAGTTCAAACCCACCCAGTAGTTCCACGGGAGAAAGACTTGATGATCTGCTTCCTTTGCGATTACAGCCAAGAAAACACTCTGAGGCAATTCTCCTCTGTCACATGGGGTCACATGGAGGTGATATGAGTTGGAATCAACTCAACAGCACCTAACAACAATGACAATAACATGTCGGATGGTTTGGGGAGGGCAGTGGCCAGTTAGGACATCCTTGGGCCTTAATATGAGTGATGAGGATCTATGTAGAGTATTTGCTGGGAAGGGAAAGATAGGAAGGACCAGGAATGGCTACAGCAGTGATTTTTTTTTTAAATACATGAAAGGGAGTTTTATTTCCCTTTTAGAATCATTATCACAAAGTCTTAGCTAATCAAATCCACAAGCATTTATAGGCTGTGTATGTGAGGCAGATGTTATGGCTGTTGCATTATCAATTACAGGGGAGTCTCTGTATTGGGTACAAATGAGCTCTTGTTAGCAGCAGACTAATCTGAGGAAATGTTTCCCGTGAATGGGAATCCATCTGAGTGCTGTAAGATTTTTATTGGGTCACATCTCACTAAGTGCTGATCAGTTTTGATTCAGTTGCAGAAGGGCACATAAGCTCTTTGGAGATGATTGTTTGAGAGAGTAGGGCAAGAAAATAGAAATCAATGAGCCATCAGCTTTCCTAGAGCAGTGAGAACTGCCTCTTTGAATTTAGCTCCATTACCCTTTACTTTTTTTTTGTTTGCTTGTTTGTCTTAGGAAAAGCCTGGGAGCAGCACATCCCAACCACAACAGAATATAGCCATTCCTCCACCACCACGCCAGGACAAGTCTTTCCTGACCAATATCACTGTCTTGAAGGTTCTTCTCTGGTTGGTCCTACTGGGACTGTTTGTGGAACTGGAATTTGGCCTGGCGTATTTCATCCTGTCCTTGTTCTACTGGATGTATGTCGGGACGCGAAGCCCTGAAGAGAAGAAGGCAGGAGAGAAGAGTGCCTATTCTGTGTTCAACCCAGGCTGCGAAGCCATCCAGGGCACCCTGACTGCAGAGCAGTTTGAGCGGGAGTTACAGTTAAGACCCTTGCAGGGGAGATAGGACCATGTTTTGCGGTCATGCAGCTAACCTCGGACAGAGTACTCTTAGCTCTCAGACATGGACTTGACTTCCTGTGCACAAGAGTAAGGACAGCTTGCGCGTTAGCTCTGTGACTGTGCAGTTCTTCTACCATTCTGTCCCCTGATCAGCTGCTGCAATTTTATCTTTGAACTTCTCTCAGGTTTTGGTGAAACCCATTGACAGACACTCACTGTCTGATCTGATGCAATTTATAAAAATTCATATTCTAGAAAGGGACTTGTTTGTCTCATATGAGTGAGATGGTTTTAGAGCACTACAAAGGCATTGTGGAAATTATGTGCTAAAAATATCCAGCTATTTGAACTAATGGTTAGGTACATAAAGGGCTGTATTAAGGGCAAAGCTCTCTTTAGGTCTTTTAATACTTATTTTTTTAAAAAAGTTGATGTCAAGTCTACTCTGACTCATAGTGGCCCTGTGTGTGTCGGAGTAGAACTGTGCCTCAAAGTGTTTTCAATGTCTGATTTTTTGGAAGTACATCACCAGGCCTTTCTTCCAAGGCACCACTGAGTGGACTTGAACCTTCAACCTTTGGGTTCACAGCATTAGTGCATTAACCATTTTCATTACCCAGGTGATCTATTAATATTTATAGCATTTTTTCCCCCAGAAAAAGTTTTAAGTTGCAAGCGTTTTTGTTTAATTAGTTGTTTTGATTTCTGCTTTAATTCTTGCTTTTCATTAATTAATGATATTGAAAAATAAAATATATTTAGAATATTTACTCTCCTGTTATTCTGCCCCCACTCAAAGGAAGATAAGAAGAGGCAAAGTCCTAAGTGACAGGTATGGGGAAGGATTTCTTGGAGTCAATATTGGCAGACTTGATAAGTAGTTATTAATGGTAAATTCAGCAAGAAAAAAATATTCTTGAGTGCATACAAATGGGAGAGCTGGAAGTGGAATTTCAGACTCATTGGCTCCTGGGCCTTTAGAGTAGGTGGTTCCTTTGCCTGTGGGCCTCTGCTGAGATACTATGTCAATATGAATAATCAGACATGATTTCCGTGTTCCTTCTTCTTGGAATCTAAAGGTAGAATTTGGGTTCATTGAAATTGGACTAAGCAAGCCACTAAATCCTTTTATCTGGATCATACTGATAAAGTAAGGGGACTATAGTTTTAAAGCAATAGTTTTTCTCAAACTCGAGGTTTTAAGAAATTAATGATTCCTCTAGTAGGTTTAACAACTTCAGAATTTAGCTATTGATTTTTACATTATGAGAGAAACTTTAATATCCCTGAGACATCATTAAGCCTAATGAAGTCCCAAGGGGTAGTGCACTCAGCTGCTAACTGAAAGGTTGGATGTAGAGCCCACCCAGAGATGCCTCAGAAGAAAGACCTGGCAATCTACTTCAGGAAGATGAGCCTTTGAAAACCCTGTGGAGCACAGTTCTACTCCATGGGTACACAGGTAAGTTTGCCATGAGTTGAAATTGACACAATAGCAACTAGTACTGGTATTAAGCCTAATAGAGGCCTCTTGTTAATTCTTTTGCTCATTTTTGCCAGATTTACTTATTACAGCAAAATTTTACTGTAGTTTCAATTTAGCTTTTTAAAATTGAACACCAGGTACTCCACCAGGCACTTCAGATAGGATCATGAGCAAAGCACACATATTTCTAGTTTCTCGAGCATATAGCCTAGGTGGGAGTGGGTATGGGGGACAAGATAAGACAATCAATAGCCATGATAGCCCGAGATAAGTTTGATTATAGGAAGAGTGCAGAAGAAATGTTCTCGATCACATCTTGAGGCTGACTAACCCCATCTGGTCTCAGGCCTTGAACATTTCTCTGATACGCACTGCTCCCTTTCTAGCCCTTTGCTGCTTGGGACTTTGGCTGTATCTCAGGGTCATCCAATCGAGCAGAAGGTCCCTTCCAGCTTGTGCAGCAGTCCTTGCTTCTGTGAATTCTGTTTGAACTGGACATGTAGAAAATATGGAAATTGGGTTGAATTGCTGTTTAATATAAAGGTTTTGGTGATTATTTTCTTAAGGCTTTCTTTTATTAGGGCTTTTCCCTTTCATAAAAGCCAAGTACCTATTGTTGTCAAGCTGATTCTTACTCATGACAACCTAATGTGTTATGGTGTAGAACTACTCCTTAAATTTCTTGGCTGTAATCTTTGTGGGAGCAGATCCACAGTGCCACTAGGTGAGTTTGAACCATCAACCTTTCAATTAATGTTGTTGTTGTTAGGTGCCATTGAGGTAGTTCCGACTCATAATGACCCTGTGTACAACAGAATGAAACGCTACCTGGTCCTGTGCCATCCTTACAATTGTTGTTATGTTTGAGCCCATTGTTGCAGCTACTGTGTCAGTCTATCTTGTTGAGGGTCTTCCTCTTTTTCATGGATTCTCTACTTTACTAAGCATGACGTCCTACTAAGCATGACTAGTCCCTCCTGATAACATGTCCAAAGTACATGAAATATCTTGCTTCTGAGGAGCCTTCTAGCTGTGTATCTTTTAAGACAAATTTGGTTGTTGTTCTGGCAGTCCAGGGTATATTTAATATTCTTTGCCAATATCATAATTCAAAAGCAACAATTCTTCAGTCTTCCTTATTCATTATCTAGCTTTTGTATACATATGTGGCAATTGAAAATACCGTGGCTTGGATGAGGCTTGTCTTCAAAGCGACATCTTTGCGTTTTAACACTTTAAAGATGTCTTTTTTGCAGAAAAATTGACCAATGCAACACATCATTTGATTTCTTGACTGCTGCTTCCACAGGCGTCGATTGTAGATCCAAGGAGAATGAAATTTTGACAATATTGTCTCCATTTATCACGATGTTGATTATTGGTCCATTTGTGAGGACTTTTGTTTTCTTTGTGTTGAGGTAAAATCCATACAGAAGGCTGTAGTGTTTGATCTTCATCAGTAGGTGTTTCGGGTCCTCTTCCCTTTCACCAAGCAAGGTTGTATCATCTGCGTATCGCAGGCTGTTAATGAGTCTTCCTCCAATTCTGATGCTGCATTCTTCTTCATGTAGTCTGGTTTCTCAGATATATTTGCTCATTATACAGCTTGAATAAGTATGGTGAAAGGATATACCCTGATGCACACCTTTCCTGATTTTAAACTATGCAGTATACCCTTGTTCCATTTGAGCAACTGCCTCTTAGTCATCATGAGCACAATTACGTGTTCTGGAATTCCTGTTTTTCAAAATACTAACCATAATTTGTTATGATCCACACAGCTGAATGCCTTTGCATAGTCAATAAAACACAGGTAAACATCTTTCTGGTATTCTCTGCTTTCAGCCAGGATCCATCTGATAACAGCAATGATATCCATAGTTTCACATCATCTTCTGAATTTGACTTGAATTTCTGGCTCTTCCTTGTCTGTACTACTGCAACATTTTAAAATTATTTTCAGCAAAATTTTATTTGAGTATTTTATTATTACTATTGTTCAGTAACTCCTGCATTCTGTTGGATCACCTTTCTTTGGAATGGTCAGAGATATGGATCTCTTCCTTTTCGTTGGCCACGTGGCTGTCTTCCAAATTTCTTGGCATAGGCAAGATCACCTCCAGCATTGCATCCATTTGTTCAAGCATTTCAGTTGCTAGTCCATCAATTCCTGAAGCCTTGTTCTTTGCTAGTGCCTTCAGTGCTGCTTGGAATTCCACCAGTTCTTAAGTGTATGCTACCTCCTGAAATGGTTGAATGTCAATCATTTCTTTTTTGGTACAGTTACTCTTTGGATGCTTCCTGCTTCATACACTATTTTGCCCATAGCATCCTTTAATATTGCAACTCAAGGTTTGATTTTTTTTTTCTTCAGTTCTTTCAGCTTGAGAAATGCTGAGCATGTTCTTCCCTTTTGGTTTTCTAACTCTAGGTCTTTGTACATTTCATTATAATACTTTACTTTGTCTTCTTGAGCCACACTTTGAAATCTTCAGCTCTTTTATTTAATCATTTCTCCCATTCACTTTAGCAACTCTATGTTCAAGAGCTAGTTTTAGAGTCTCTTTTAACTTATCTTTCTTTCCTGTCTTTTTAACCTTTTGCTTTCTTCATGTATGATGTCTTTGATGTCATCCTACAAGTCATGTGGTCATTGGTCATCAGTATTCAGTGCATCAAAACTATTCTTCAAATGGTCTCTAAATTTAGGTGGGATATACTCATGGTTGTATTTTAGTTCTCACAGACTTGTAATTTTCTTCAGCTTCAGCTTGAATTTGCATTTGGGCAATTTATAGTATGTTCCACAGTTGGCTCCTGGCCTTGTTCTGACTGGTGATGTTGAGCTATTCCATCGTCTTCTGCCACAGATGTAGTCAGTTTAATTCCTGTGTATCTCATCTGGCAAGTTCCATGTATTTAGTCACTGGTTATGTTGAAAAAAAGTATTTACAATCAATGGGTTGTTGGCTTCCAGAATTCTATCATGTGATTTCCAGCATCATTTCTGTCACCAAGGCCATATTTTCCAGCTATTGATCTTTCTTCATTTCCACTTTTTGCATTCATCAGTACTTATTAATGCATCTTGATTGCATGCTTGGTCAATTTCAGACTACAGAAGTAGGTAAAAATCTTCAATTTCTTCATCTTTGGCATTAGTGGTTGGTACATAAATTTGAATAATTTTTCTATTAACTGGTCTTCCTTGTAGACGTACAGATATATCCTATCATTGGCAGCATTGTACATCAGGATAGATCTTGGAATGTTCTTTTTGGCAATGAATGTAACACCTTTCCTCTTCAATTTGTCATTCCCAGCATAATAGACCATATGATTGTCTGATTCAAAATGGGCAATATCAGGTCTTTCTTTCTAGGCTGTTTTAGTCCAGAAGCTTAACTGAAATCTGCCCACCATGTATGGTCCTGCAGGTATTTGAAATACTAGTAGCATAGCTTCCAGCATCACAGCAGCACAGAAGCCACCACGATATGACAAACACAATAGTCCAG